AAACCCACTTCGAGTTCCTCATCTTTCTCCAGACCCATCTCTTCCGGTCCGAAACACCTATCTTCGAACTTCGATAAACCGGAATCTCCAGTTCCCAGAAACTGTTTAAAAGATGCCAAACAGGTAAAATTCATCACTTTGATTGAGATAGTTCCAATTTCATGAGTTTGGTTAGATTGTAATTTCATAAATGCTGAACCTTTGTTTATGCATTCTTTGGAAAAATACAAGCTTCGTTTTTTAAATGTTTGATCAATGTTTTATATTGACAATGTTGCTTTAAGGCTTGTCTAGTTGGGACGAGGAGGAGGAACATGATGATGGGTTTGTTCATGTCTGGTTTAATGGTTTCAGAATCCAATTTTCAAACAGCATTTGCTTTAACTCCTTCAGTGTTCAGAGAGTACATTGACACATTTGATGGATACTCTTTTAAGTATCCTCAAAATTGGATCCAAGTCCGAGGAGCTGGTGCTGATATATTCTTTAGAGACCCTATTGTCCTCGATGAGAATCTCTCGGTCGAGTTTTCTTCGCCTTCTTCGTCGAAATATACTTCACTTGAAGACTTAGGTTCCCCTGAAGAAGCAGGAAAGAAAGTACTTAGACAGTATTTGACTGAGTTTATGTCAACTAGACTCGGTGTTAGGCGCGAGTCCAACATTCTAAATACTTCCTCAAAAGTTGCAGATGATGGTAAACTCTATTACCAAGTCGAGGTAAAGCCAATGTCAATTACCAAATTGTCATCCTAATTTTGTGAAACTGCGTAACGATGTGTTGTTCAGTTGAATTCAAATCCTAAATTGTGAGCAACTTTTGATCATTTGATAGTTGAGCTTGATTCTTGTTCCTATTAGTGAAACAAAGTGTGAAGCTTTAGATGAATTTGGACAGAACCGGACTGTTACATTTTGTCTTGTTGGATTAGAGTTGCATATAGGAAACGATTCTTTTCTTGATCAACCATAGTGTTGCAACATGTCTTGATCAGTCGCAGTGTTTCAAAGTTGCATAAGAAACAATTGATTTTGATGATTGTATTGTATGGTAAGATGACATTGCTCATTAGTTAGTTACATTGGGTTTCTTTTGGTGATTGAAACAGGTGAATATAAAGTCGTACGCAAACAACAACGAGCTCGCTGTGATGCCGCAAGATAGAGTAGCTCGTTTGGAATGGGACAGGCGTTACCTTGCGGTTCTAGGAGTTGAGAACAATAGACTCTATTCATTGAGACTCCAAACACCTGAGAAGGTTTTCCAGGAAGAGGAAAAAGATCTAAGAAGAGTTATGGATTCGTTTCGGGTCGAAAAGATTTAGAGAGCTCACATTCTCCTCCATGAGTTTCTTTTTTTTGTTCCAAACAAAAATCTTGTTGCTGGTTATGTTCTTCCCATTCTACTTTGAGATTTACCCAACAAAAGTATTTTGATTCAAATATTCACAAATCAGTTGTTTAAAAGGAATGGGGCGTTTGGTAATTCGGTTTATTCGAATACAAAATAAGGTTTAGTTCTAATACTTTCA